AAAAAAATAATAATAATAATTAAAAATTTTAAAAAGTTTTACATAGACCATACAAATTAATTAGTTGTGTATTTCATAGACACAAATGAAAGAGGAACCATATTCACATTAAAAAAATAGTGATAGTGCTGCATGTATATATATATAACTATTGGGAAAAAGAAAAAAAGAAAAGAAAAAGAGTGAAGTTAGTTTTTTGGGACCATACATAGCAATCTAAACTACTTTTTTTGTGTCGTATTTCTTTATTTTATTTTTTCTTAAAAGGAAAAAAGTGTTTATGCAAGTCACGCAACTCATCATTATCAATCTATATGATCTTATTTATTTTGTAATATATATATATATATATATTTTAGATGCTACAATGTGAACTACTTATGTGGTTACAAATTAGAGTGAAAGACGAGCAATATCTTTTATTTATTTAATTTATAAATACTTTTTAATTTGTTGACACGTAGGTATTTTAGGTAATAATTCTATATTCTTTGATGGAGGAATCTAATATCCTCTTCTATGTCAAAACGATGTCGTTTTTATGCTTGCGCATATGATTCCCTCTGCACATAAGGGAATCTTGATTCCTCTCTCTGTTCCCATGCGTCAAAACGACATCGTTTCAATGCATAATACGAGCTTCGAGACAGAATCCACAATTGACTCCTACTAGCACACACAGTAGAGCACAGGATCCCTACGCACAGAAAGAGATCTTGATTCCTCTTCACCCTCCCTGCCGACTCAAAATGACACTTTTGGTATTCTTTATTTTTGTCGCTTTTAGAGGTTAGATTTTTTGATAAATGCTTTTATAAAAGTAATATTAATTAACGTTAAATATCCAAAAAAAAAACATCCAAATCATAGCCAACTTGACCATCTCTTAACTTTTCAAGTGTGACATGGTTTTTGATACATTTGGGCATGACATGGCAACCTCATCTTAAGTCATACATTAAGTCATTTCCAACTGAGATGCCCTTGGGAGTGGGAAAGTGGGTAACATATATACAAAATATATATATATATATATATATATATATATATATATGTAATGCTTACACATTAATCAATTAAACTAATCATACGATAATCACAATTCATTAAGATAATATAAATTAATAAAAAGCTATAGATATAGATCATATATAGTTAGCAAAATTGCTTTTGTTCAATTGGATTTGATGGTGATGATGATGATGATTAATTAGGGCATATTCATATCAACTAACGACCTTCCACACTAGTCATTTCCCACTTAATATGGACAAAAACCTTTTCAATTTGTTGAGCCAAAAAAGTAAATAAAAAGATGTAGTACTCATCTTGAATTGGATTAGATTAATTAATCTCATTAATCATAAAATTATATTGAAAAGTGACTTAAACACATGTTAATTAAAGAATGTGAAAAAGGTTTTGTATGGGATTGGCATGGTCATTGACAACTCCTCAAGAGATAAGCCCACTATGGATAGAGATAAAGCCATTTTAATGAAAACTTCAAAAGCCATTATCATGCACACACACAATTTTGTAAGTAACACACACACACACATATATATAATACATCATTTTCAGGTGATCCCATCTGATCCCAAACGGTAATGCATGTGATAAATTCACTCACTCGAAATCCACGCAATCACTATATTGGGGGTCATTTTAAAAACATGTTGTAGCAAATGATATCACAATACATATGTTGTCACTTGTCACGCACCACAAGTAGTATTGGTGATCCTTTTTCCTAAACTACTATTGGGTCATTAAGAAAACACCATGTGCTAAATGATATCATACATAATGTGTTGTCATACACCACATTATTTATTTGTGATGAGTTTGCAAAACACTAGGTCATTTGTGACTTTTTATTTTTTCCTTTCTCGAAATTGCAAGCGTATTTACACATACTATACTTTTGTTCTTATTGGAACTTGAATGCTTAATTACCATCTACGCTAAAGTCTATCAACAAATTTTATGTACGTCTATCATCAGATTTTATGTACTTCATCTGTCTCAAAATAGTTGTCAAGTCACACTTCCTAAGATAGATAATTATTTTAAAACAGAGTATTTTAGACATGTCTATTACAATTCTAGTAAGTAACTGCTGATCGAGTTTTAATCCCAAACTTTCGTGTTATTAGGTTGATTGTATAATGATATAATATCACCAATGTAGATATAATTAATTGATAATACAAATAATGAGATGTTAGAAGTGCAATCATCCTCGAGTCGCCAACTTTCGTGACATTTGGGTGGCATCAACGGTTCAACTAGTTACATCACTATAATTCCACTAAGAGCGTGGGCTAGGGTCTATTGGTCTTGAAAGACCTCATGCCCATCATATCTTTACAACGAGGCACCCCAACAAAATCACACCTTCCCACTTCTAGGGAGTGGCATTAACAGAAACACAACTTGTCCGTGTGAGTATAGAAATACCGTACGTCTACTGTTTTGTACTCGTATACAAATATATATATATACACACACACAAGAATATTAAAATTGTATTATGAATTAATCGATAATTAAAAAGAAAAAATCAAGGGGAATCTGGTAGAGGGACCCACAAAACAAAAAACGATGGAGCCAAAAGCCAATGATAATAAATTGTTAAACCCACCGTCTTAAGCGCACGGTTTTCATCCAACTTGCATTTTGCAATGTGGGACCTCCATAGACCAAGGATTCGTCCGTACAGAATCAACCCATATAATATCACTCGCCTCCATCTTTAACCATATATCTTACACGTACTTGATAGTGATACCAAGCTTCGCTACACCACATAAATTTATATATATATATATATATATAAATATGTTCTAACACCTGTCTCTTAGTTCAAATAGTATTTATTATTCCTTTCAAATTAGAGTGGTTAAAAAGTTGGAAATAGTAATTTTAAAAACAGTTTTAGAAATTTTAAAAAATAGAGAATAATTTGAGAATTATTAAAGATTATTATTTTAAAATAAATATTTTTATAATTGAATTTTTAAAAAATTGAACCAAGTAAATTTTTGTACAATTTTTCTTTTTAATTTTTTGAGAATAAAAAATTATTTTCGTAATTACAAATCAATCAAACCCTAAGTGTTCTAGTATAGTGTGGTATACTTATCTGGTGTTTGAGTCACCTAATATAAGTAAAGTAAACATAATAAATGTTAATTGTTATATGATAATTAATTAAACGACTAATTAGTTTAGGATTATAAAATCGTGTGATTCTTCTGCCTTAATTACTAGATCTGCCAAAAATTAAGCCGAACCAAATATCTAAACATCGCTTTAGGTTGATTGAGATAGTTGGACCTTGTGTAAGATAAATTTCTCTCTCTCTCTCTATATAAATATGTTGTAACACTTGTCTCTTAGCTGGTTCAAATAGTATTTGTTATTCCTTTCAAATTAGAGAAGTAAAAAGTTTGAGATTTTTTTTTTTTTTTTTTTTAAAAGAAGCTTACCTAAAATTGTAAAGTAATTCTACATAACTACCGACAGTTTGAATTAAATCTTATTTATTCTTTCCTCAACAAAAAAGTTAAAGAGTCTGGTGTGACATACTTATCCAGTGTTTGAGTCACCTAATATAAACAAATTAAACATAAAAAAACCAACAATTGAATTAGTTTAGGATTATAGAATCTTGTGATTCCTCAACTTAAACTTACTTAGATTTGCCAAAAATGAAGTGGAACAAAATATCTAAACATCGCTTTAGGTTGATTAAGCTATTTGGGCCTTGTGCAAGATTCAAATGATTTCTAGCCAAGCTAAATTAGATATTTTGGGTGGATTGGGTAATATCGGGATAGACACTAATATAGTACCTTAACTAAAAATGGAGAAACAAAAAATCAATTGCATCATTGAGTGGTCTCAATCATGCATAAATCCAAAACAAGTCGGAACAAGAATAAATTATAATTTGGATCATGTAATAAAAGATATCTAAGAAAGTGAGTTGAGTTGAGTTGAGTTGATTTTTGAGTGCGAGTGCAATGTTTTGACGGTGAGATGTAACAAAATAGGGTCTTGTAACTTTTATCCATTCGGTTAAAAAAAATTAACTAAATGACTAGTTCCGTTTAAAGTATGTAGTGATTTTTCTTTAATTAATACTAAAACTAATATAAACATCATAGATTCTTTTAAAAAAAAAAAAAAAAATTAGGGTTCATAAATATTTGGGGAAATATTTGAGTCCATAAATAGGGGAAGTGAATGGCAAAAGAAAACAAAGAAGTGGCCACTTGCGGAAGGAAATTGTCAATGTTGGTTGGAAAATCATGAATACCTAAGAGAGAGAAAGAGAGTAACTGAGGTGAACCTAGCCAATAAGACAAACTAAATATGGAAAGGACGAATCAAATCATGCCAGGTAAGACTTATGGGAATTTCTTGTTGGATGAGCCTTGTATCTTCAAGTCTATCCATCCCCTTAGTTTACATTGGCCCATGACACCCATCCTAGTGGAACCAGAATAATAAATTTATATATATAATATATATATATATATATATAAATATATATATTTGTTTAATCTTATCTGCTTCTGATACTTCATCAAGATCTTCTCTCTATTATTTGTTGATGCTTTTAATACACCAATTGCATAACTCCAGATAAACATTAGAGAGAGAAAGACAGTAAGGTTAGAGAGAGAAAGAGAGAGAGTGAGAAATGGATGCCATGCTGATGCAACCAAGTACTAGCAGCAAAGCTCAGGGGGGGATGAACTTACTAAAACACGGTCCACAGTCATGTGAATCCCATCAACTTGCTCCTGTGGGTCCCACCTCACATACACAGCCCACAACACCAACACACACACACACACACACACAAAACTCTCTCTCTGTGAATCTTCCTAGTCCCTTACCAATCTTGGGTTGACCCACCATGCCCACATCTCAATTTTGTTACCAAAACTATACATTTTCTGATTTATTTATATATTTAAATCTATAGGGTCACCTCCTATATATATCTACATATATATTCAACTCATCAACCAAACCCAATTCATCATCTTTCACACCCCCCTCACACTTTCTCTCTCTAGATCTATCTCTCCCTTCTCCTCTTTCTCTCTCTAAGAAAAGAAAAAATGGACGGTAGTATCATAGATGACAACAGCACAACAAGTGACTCTATCTCTCTTCCCATCCCGGCGACAAAGTCGCCACAGAGTCTATGCCTCGCCGGGAGCGGTACTAGTGTTATACTAGACTCCGAGAACGGCGTCGAGGCCGAGTCCCGGAAGCTCCCGTCGTCCCGATTCAAAGGCGTCGTGCCGCAGCCGAACGGCCGGTGGGGAGCTCAGATTTACGAGAAGCACCAGCGGGTCTGGCTGGGGACTTTCAACGAGGAGGACGAGGCGGCTCGGGCGTACGACATCGCCGCCCAGCGCTTCCGCGGCCACGACGCCGTCACCAACTTCAAGCCGGAGGAGGACGACGTCGAGGCCGCCTTCCTGAGCTCCCACTCCAAGGCGGAGATCGTGGACATGCTACGGAAACACACGTATCACGACGAGCTCGAACAGAACCGAAGAGTCTTCAAACACGGGAATGGAAAAAATGCATGTAAGGACGGGCTATCCGGGTCGTTCGGGTCGGGTCGTACGCCGAAAGCCCGCGAACAGCTCTTCGAGAAGGCGGTGACGCCAAGCGACGTCGGCAAGCTGAACCGGCTGGTGATACCGAAGCAGCACGCCGAGAAGCACTTCCCGTTGAACAGTGCAAGCGCCTCCAAGGGCGTGCTACTGAACTTCGAGGACGCCGGCGGGAAGGTGTGGCGGTTCCGGTACTCGTACTGGAACAGCAGCCAGAGTTACGTGCTCACCAAAGGGTGGAGCCGGTTCGTGAAGGAGAAGAACCTGAAAGCCGGCGACATTGTGAGCTTCCAGCGATCCACCGGGCAGGAAAAGCAGCTCTATATCGACTGGAGGACGAGGAACGGGTCGGGTTTGCAACCCGGGTTGTTGAGCCCGGTCCAACCGGTTCAGATGGTTCGGCTGTTTGGAGTGGACATATTTAAGGTACCGACAGTTGGTCACGGTGTTAATGTTGTTGTCGATAGTAATGCTAATTGTGGCGGGAAGAGAGTGAGAGAGATGGAGTTGTTGGCATTAGAGTGTTGTAAGAAACAACGGGTCATCGGAGCTTCATAGCACATTATGTGTTTAATGTGTTTTTTGTTTTTGTTTTTGTTTTTGTACGAAGGTGTTAATTTGCAAGTTGCAAAGTTGAAGTTTTTTATATTACTAGACAAAAGCTGAAGATAGCTAAACTTTTAGGTGGAACATATGATCATAAAGCAATGAAAAACCTGTTCATTTGTTGCGTTCATTGTATTCAACATGTTTCATATCTTATATACTTTAAGTGCTACTACTTATTAGGTTTGGTGCTCTATGTTTTGGATTGTTGTAGCTTTCCCAAAATATCTTTTCTTTTCTTCTTTCCTTTGTTTTTTTCTCGGAAAATTTTCCGAAATATCTTATGAGAGAGAAAATTATTCGAAGTTTCATTTGAATGGACGGATTAATTTGGCCTATATAAAATGGGATCATGTTACATGTTCACTCCATTTTTGGCATACCAACAATTAGGTACGTAGTTAAAACATAAAATATAGTGTGTGTGTGTGTGTGAGAGAGAGAGAGAGATAGAGATGAAATTTAATCATGGACAGCCTTTGCAACAGGATGAAGGAACTGGGAATTAATAAGCTATTCATCAAAATATCATGGTCTACACAAAAGTTCAAACAAATTGATGTGTTTTTCTGCTGATCAGAGAAAAATTATTTGTTTTTATTAATTCATTTTAAAATTTTTATTGTTGGGTCGTATTGTACTTTGTGATTATATAAAATTCACTTCTTCTTCTGTTTTTTTTTTTTTTTTAATGCTTGGATTGCGTGTACGTCTCAGATCCAGTGCATAATCTTGTTAACATGGGTTCTGAATTAAGCATGCAATTAACTATATATGCATGGTGGATGCTACGTGGTTTTGAATAATCATTATGTATATATCCTATATAGGATGTGTGTGCTTTTTAACGTTTTTCATATTAATTGTTAAAAATAATTGTGATATTTTAGCAAATCTTAATCTTATGATGATCCATCCCTGGAATTGGCGGTGACAATATATATAAATATATATAGATATATATATGCATGTATGTAAAGGTGAGAGTCGATCCAGATTCATGTATGAAATGGGTTGATCTGCTAAAGCTGTGAAATATATATCCCAGATTCCCAGGTGCTCATATCTAATGTTGCATATATGTCCTCCCACCAACCAAACACGACATTGAAATTATATATATTGTGTGTGTGTGTGTGTGTATATATATATATATATATGTTATATAAACGTTTCCACAATTAATTGAAATTTCATTGATTTTGTTATTAATGTAAACTAATTAAACACATTATGGTTGCATGAAGAATCGTTGCGTGTTGATTTAAATTAAAAAAAATAATAAAATGCTCTTTGACTATTCTAAGCTGCCTAAAAATGTCAAATGGTTTGCTAATGTGGAAAATAATACGGTCAACAGAGACAATACTAAAATAATACTAGTATCAGATCGATCACTCTAAACCACACAAGAGTATTTTTGACCAGTTTAAGGTGGATGAACAGGTCGAATCAAATGCCACAAAATATTATATATATATATATATACAGACACAGTTGTATCACTAGCTTGTTCCACCGATCAGTTCAATGTCACTCAATGTCACAATGAATATTAGAAATTATATATATATATATACATATACCTTAGTTATGTTAATTAAGAACACCTTATCAATAAACAAACACACACACACATTAACTTCTTTATAATTTCATTCAATTTCATACGCAAAATGATTTGTTTAGCTCATGTTTATTGTAGTGGAACTTAATTTGTTGCTAACAACAAATTAAAATGCAAATATGTATATATATCTATATATCTAAATGAAGGCCTAAGAAGCTGGTTTTGTATTTGCATGTGTTCATGAGCATCCAACAAGCTCAACCAATCATTAAAAGATCGAATTATTTTTTGTTTTTTGTTTTTAATAAGTAAAGTGTTTTTGAACTTAGGTTCAGCTATTTCATGTAAAATAATGTAACAAATCCAGTTTATCTGTACGGCCTAGCACTACAGACGAGTGCATTTTCACTTTGATATATAAATGTATGACAAACAAGTACTAGGTTGAATAGTGCACCGCATATATATGGTCCTTACAAATGGAATAATACATATTTTCAGTGACAGAGCCATATTCATCAACGAGAAGGTCACTTCGGGTGCGCTGAGGATCCTGTATCCGAATCTAGAAAAGGTTAGACACGTGCGTAATTTAAGGTCACAACAGAATAACTTTATCGTTTCGTAATGGTTCGTCCTCTATTAATTACTTATTTTGAGAGTGTGATGAATTTGATAGTTCTCCTAATTAATCAATCCACTACTTATCATAACCATAGTGAACATTCCACTCTAAGAAAAAATGGACAGTCAAAGCTTTTCATTTAAGGGGATGACTCAAATTCATATTGAATTTCATTTTTCCATAAAAATGGAGCTCTTTCTTACATACACTAAACAAACTTTTCATAAATTTTCCTAATAATTTTTTGTAATTTTTTATTTTTCAAACAATAATATCTTACAATTATTCAATTAGTTCTATCTAAATAACCGTATTTATTTTCCAATATTTTATATAGGTTCGTTTCCGATTAAACTTAGTATTTCATTTATCTTTCAAAATGAGAGGTGAGGATTCAATTCCCCACCAGATCAAACGAGTGTACAAGTTTCTTGCTAGGAGAGAAAAAAAAAAAAAAAATGCTTATCTTCCTCTCTTCCACTTCTTATTTATGCTTTCTATTGCATCAACTATGGTTCCACGAGTTCTTCTTTTTCTTTGTTGTTCTCAACATGCAAAATAGGTTCCTGATTGTTCAACATCAAGAAGAATTCTAAGTGACTGGAACCTATGGCCTTCATGTTGTCCTCCGCAGAGGCCACCGGACTGAGGTTGGTGCTAGACTGTTACTTACTCGGGCTCACCGGAAGCGAGCACTAATACCCTCCATTAACGGTTAATACAACCGTTAATTGCGGTTATTGGTTTGGAATTAGGGTCTGGGCTTTTCCCTTAGTCTGCCTTTTATTGGACTGTTTTGTGTCCCATTTATCTGCACTTATCTTGGCCCAAGGCCCACCTTGTAATTACCTTTATATATATATATATATATATATAATTTAAATAAATAAAAAATAATGCAAAATAGTGCAAACACATTTTATCTTCCAAAACTTGAACACTCAACCTTTCAATTTAAAACATTGAAGAAATATCACTACAATCATTGTACCAGGCTCTTTGGAATCTTGGGATACATAAAAATCGGCCCACCAAACATTTTTTGGGCTAGCTCTTTGGAATCTTGGGATACATAAAACCCGGCCCAGCATTAGCCCAAAAGCATAGTTTTATGTAGGCCCAAGCCCATTTGACCCCAAAAAAACAAAAAAATTTCTTAATTATCAGCTTCTTCAACCCAGTCCAACCTTCACCGCACCGTCCGTAAAAATGGGTTTTGCTGCTTCACTCTCTCTGCAACTCTCGTCTCCTCTATATGGAGAAGTGTTTTCATCGTCTTCTTCTACACTTTTCAAAGGGGCCCCACTCACTTTCACTCCAGTTTCTCTCTCTGGTAACTCTCACTCCTCTCTTTTGTCTTGTTTTCCCTCTTTATTTATTTCAATTGATACCACTGTATCTGTGTTAATGCACTTCCTTTTTCTTAATAGATTTTTAAATTCTTATGTGCTTGTTACACTGTGAAATCTCTTTGACAGAATTTGAATTCTGGGTTCTATTTCTATTTTGTTTGTTGTATTGTGTTCAATTTAGGAAAAAAGTCACATTTGCAGAAGCGATTCTTTGTTGATTCGAAGAGAATCTCGGGCTTGGAGGAGGCTATCAGAATCAGGAGGTACACTATTGTGATGGAACTTTATAAACCCTTATATATATAAGTTTTTTTTTTTGTGTTAGCATCTATTTCATGGCTTTGTATTCATTTATTTTTAACTTAAATTATGATAATAGGTATTTGGATATACATAGATTACGACCTTATGTTTTGTCTAACCTTATTGGTTTTCTAGTTTCTTTAAGGAGTTTTTAGTAGTTTTTGCAATATTTAAAAGCACAAATGATGGACTGAATATAAGGTGTTGGAATTTGTTTGGAAATAGAATAATCTGATGTTCTTGTTCTACATAAATAAAATGGTGCAATTTTGAACTTATTTATTACAAAAAAAAAAAAAAAAGGAATCATAGCCATTGAACTGTGGAAGATGGTTAGGGAAAAAGGTAATTTTGAAGTGTTTTGTATATGATGTGTGAGACACTGAAATGATTAGTTTTCTCCACCCAAGTGGTTCACCTAGTCACCATTCAGCAATCTTGTTGGTCTTTCATGATAACATATACATTATACTCTATTCGAATCTTGGAATCAAATGCTTTTTGAGCTGGGGTAATTATTTGGTTGCTTCATGCCAACTGCATTACCTCCCCCCTCTTCCTCTTTTCTCCATGTTCTAGTTTTAAAAGTCTGATTGTCTTGATATATGAGTGCCAATAAAGATCTTGGGCCACTTGCACATATGTTCTTTTTTCTCCTTCTATGTATATTGTTATCTTCAATTGCCAAATCAAATGTGTTAGAAATTTTGAAGTTTGGAATCTTTGGATAATATACTTGTCCACCCAATTCAATTTCTTAATTTCTCTCTTTTTCATGTGCTTTAATGAATTATATTAGGTTAGAATGCTTTTCGCAGTATTTTACTATGTAACACCTATATGTTTCGTTGCATCTTATTTGTTATTCTGATTGCTGTTCATTTGTCTCTTTGCTTTATGAAGGTTGAGTGATTTTTAACTTGCTTTCTTGATTAATTGTTTGATCATATGTAGAGAACGTGAGGCTAAAACTCCAACAAGTATTAAAAAAAGGCAACCACTAATGCGTAGAAGGGTATCACAACGTCTTCCTGTGCCTGATCACATACCAAAGCCTCCTTATCTAAGTTCTACTTTGTTGCCAGAACTTTCAAGTGAATATCAAATTCCTGATTCTGAAGGCATCATTCACATGAGGGCTGCATGTGAGCTTGCTGCTCAGGTCTTGGACTATGCAGGAACATTGGTTAGGGTAAGAAATTGCAGTTGTTGTGTACTTATCCAAAAAAAAATAAGAAAAAAAAAGAAAAGAAAAGAAAAAAGAAATAACAGTACTTGTGTTTTGTTGTTAAGCACAGATCTTTGATTTGATATGTTAATTATGCGGAGTTATACATTTCATATAGACCTCAGCAACTATGGATCCCATGTGTCGCTATAAAAAATGAGTCTGATTGAAAACACATGCATATGTCTACACGTGCTAATAAAATTGAGTTTCCGTGAATATCATGGAATTATAGTTAAGCAAAGTTCCACTATAAGTGCCAAGGAACATGGGCACAACCCATGTAGGTCAAAGTCGTTTAGGAATTGTTCCTTCCTGAAGTTTATAAGTTAAACCCAAATGCAAACAGTAAACTTCACATCTTTTTATCCTTGATCTCTATGAATTTTTTACTTGATTAAAATTTGAGAAGGGCCTGGAAAATTAACATTTTCTGCCTAAGGTTGATACTTGCTTAGAAATAAAATGTAAGGATGTTTGCTTCTAAATTAGTTGGCATGCCAATGCAACAAAAAGTGTTTTTCCAACTACATAGGGTCAGATACATGAATCCTATTTTTTCATTCCGCTCAATTAAAAGGTTGTAGCCTCAGTTAAAGTTTTAAATCACATGTTTTCATATCCTTCCATACATTTACTTTGGTCTTCCCCTTCTCTTAACATTACCCTCAATGTGGACCATGCCACTCTTCAAAACTTGCGCACTTAAAGGTCTTCTTTGCTCATGGCTAGGCCATCTTAATCGATTTTTTATCATATTATCTCCATTCGGTGCTTTTTCAACCATCTCACGAATATGTTCATTTCTAATTCTATCCTTTCCTATTTCTAGCACATTCATCTCGGCATTCACATTTCTGTCACACTCAATTTGTGCATTTGTTGTTTCTTAGTTGCCAAACATTCTGTCCCATAAAGGTCTAATAGCTGTTTTATTGAACTTCCCTTTCATTCTTAGAGTGACACGCACTGATCACACAAAATGCTAGATGCACTCCATTTTACCCATCCTGCCTTGATTCTATGATTTATATCATCTACAATTTCTCCTTCATTATGAATAATTGAGCCAAAATACTGAAAATGTTTACTTTTTGTACCTCACGACCCTCAATATAGTTTTACTAAATTTACAGTCCATTTATTCAACTTTATTCCTACTTATCTTAAACGATATAATGTTAGAGTTTTCCTCCAAACCTCTAATTTAGCACTTATTCCTTCTCTATTTTCATCAATTAAAACAAATTGGTTGGCATGCCAAAGGAAAAAAAAAAAAAATTCACTAATCGCTTCTTGTTATCCATTTGTTTTCTCTTAGGATTATAGGTTATAGATATTCTTGTTGAGTATTAATGTGGTTGAGAATGTATTTATTTGAGTGGTTACTGGTAACTCTAACTCTTTGGTAACCAATGATGGCAGCCATGCTAATTATTCCTTCCTTTTGCTTTTAGACATTTTTGCTCATTAAACTTTGATTTAGTAATTGTGTGTATGTGTGTGTATATATACAATGTTTTTGATTGACATGTGGATTCCTTCAGAACAACATTATTGCCAATGGAAACTGATCATTTAAAGCCAATCATCTTTGTTTTCATGTCACAAGAAAGTTGTGAAATTTACTATATGGAAGGTATCTCAACAATTGAAAACATTTGTACTAAAATGCTTGGAATAGTGAATTTATTTTGATATAATTTCATTCAAAATGAAGGGTTTGGAATTTTAATATACAAGTATCCTATTACTAGTGTTGTGATCTAAATTTTTCCTGGGAATGAATGTTCTGCAGCATTTCAATGCAATATCTTCATGCTACATTCTTGAAATTAATTCTGCCATTTATTTCTTCTGTATAAGCTACTTTTGTGGTATTGTTCTGGGGATATGTCTGGCTCACTACTAGACTTTCAAGGTAAATCCAGGTCAGATGGGCTGGAGAGTTGTATCTTTTAATGAAGCTTATTTTGGTGTCGTAGTCGTTCTAGTTTTGCCACACTTTGTTGGTTGACAGGCTATGTTACACATACTAGGTTACAGATTTTGGGTAAAGGTATGTGACTATGTGTCCTGGTGGTACATTGTCCACTTTCCAAAGATCATTATTTAAAGTGTCAAGGATGAGCAATGGACCTATGGACATAGCTGACATGGAAGGCATTGGCATTGGCATTGGCATTGGCATTGCGCATACACTCTCGTGTCTTTTTTTCAGCGTTTTTGATAATGTGATCTGGTGCTCTTGTTATCCCATTCCATTATTCTCTCTGAATGTGGAAGTGTTTTGTATTTATATATTCTTATTCTCCTGACCATTTTGTCCTTGAAATGAGAAGGAAGTGTACATAATGCATTTGGTAAAAGTTCTTAGAAGCTTTCCTTTTGAAAATAAAAACAAACTATTATTATGGGAAATTTTCTTTTTTTTATGTTAATTAGGTTTTTATTTGTGTCTGGTATTTTTTACATTTTAATCTGGCTTATGCTGCCATTTCGTTCTGAAAACTTGTTTTATGTCATGTTATTTACATATTTTTCATGTCTTCATCAGCCATCAGTGACAACAGATCAAATTGATAAAGCGGTGCACCAAATGATTATTGATGCTGGTGCTTACCCTTCACCTCTTGGATACGGGGGATTCCCAAAGAGTGTGTGCACATCAGTTAATGAGTGCATGTGTCATGGAATACCTGATTCTCGCCAGCTGCAGGTTTTGTGTGCTATCACTGCCCATTGCTGCTTGCTCAACATGCAAACCCTTTATCACAACTGATCATTTCTCTGCAGGATGGTGACATAATAAACATTGACGTGACAGTCTATTTAAATGTACGTTGCTGAGTAGTTCTTTATATTGTCACTTAAATTCATATGTCATTTATATGAACAACAAACTGCTTGTTTTCCTCCTTAAATTCAAAGTTGACGTCTGTTCGCCATACTTATTTTGTGTGTTAGGGTTATCATGGAGACACATCAAAGACTTTTCTCTGCGGCAATGTTAGCGATTCTATGAAACGGCTTGTGAGGGTATACATTTATTAATACCTGCGTTAATAATAGTTGAAAACATTTTCTTGATCTTTTTTCCATTTTTGATTGTTATTATTATTATTATTATTATTATTATTGCTTGTGAATTTTTTAATTCTTAAAAGTCGAGAGCACAAATCCTGCTCTGTTATCCCTATCTGTTAAAATTATGAATTTACAATTACAAATAATATTACTTGTTTCTCTTCAAGAATTGCTTATATTACTGCTGTCTGTTGAATGTACATTTTATATCTTTTTTTCCTTTTATGGCAGGTAACTGAAGAATGTTTGCAAAGGGGCATTGCTGTTTGCAAAGATGGTGCTTTGTTTAGGAAAATCGGAAAGAAAATCAGGTATATATATATATTCTTGATGGTGTCTTGTATATGAAAGGGAGCTGAACTTTTGTAGATGAAGAAGTAGTAACAAATATCTTCCAAGGAAGATCTTGTTAGTGTGCAGTACTGGTCAAAGTAGTAGAACTTAATGGGATTTTTATAGGGTGCTAACTTCTGCAAGCTGCAAACTATACATTGCACAAACATGAGTGATTACCGGTCAACGTTGCAAACTAATTTATGTAACTAGCATTACATATTGTTGATCACTTGCTTGAATGTAATCCTTGAATTTGTGTCTAGTGACCACCATGGGCTTAGTCAAGTGGCATGTCATTCTCCTTCCAAATGAAAGACTGGGGATTCGAGTGATCGAGTCCCAGCAGGACAAACGGGTTTGTGTGTTCTTACCTACTGAAAAAAATAGAAGTAAAAGCATATAGTGCTTGATTCTGTATATTTATTGAATAATATATACTTAAATCTGCATGATTGTAGCTTTTATTGTTGCAAATTTGTAATGGCGCTTGATTGAGTTAATATATGTGCATATTGAAAGGATATATGCATATTAATTTACCTAAATTTCTCAGTTGAAAAAAAAAATTGACATTTATTTGTTACATATTTTGAATAATTCTAATTGTAAATTGATAAATATGTATTCACGTGCAAATTTGATCTTGACTAGTTTGTGTTGCCTATTTCAAAATTTTCTCTTTATTTTAATGTGCTATATCACGCATATGCCTCCTTAATCAGGCTTGTGCCTTACATTGCACTTCTGCCCAGGCTCTAACAGACCTTGGCATCTTAGTGCCTTGAGCCTTTTAATAACTTTACATGAGTTATTTGGCAGTTTAGATTGTGCACAAGAGTTCTTTAGAAGGAAGAATGTTGGATAATCTTGAAGTTGGTACTTTACCAGGATTAACCTAAAGCGCTGCAGCCAAGTCCTGAATTTTGGTTTTGGCCTCTGTTTTTTTCATGGTTATATTAAATTTAATCTAAAATTTGTGTGAAATATTGAAATTGTGTCTAAAATATGGTGGCTTTTCCATTGTTTGAAATCAGAATAAAATCTTTTAACTTCAAAACATGGTTGACTTTTAATATCTTGGACTCTTGGTTCAAATTAGGGTAGAGTACAGAAGGTCAGGGCTAGATCCAAAGGTATTTTCTATTCTCTTGCACTTGCACAAGAGGAATATTGGTACTTGTATGAGGGACAAGAAAGAGACAGAAGAATCATACGGAAGTCTGTGGGGGCAAGTTCCTCTCAATTTAAGTCAGATTCCAAGTTAAATGGCCAAGTTGGTATCATTTCAATTTTTTTTGGTAAATATCATAATATACCATTTTCTAGGTGACTGTACATGATATAGCACACATCACAATACCTACTTTCCACTTGTTTGCTATTTTAATTGGAATAAGTGCCATCGGAGTAATCTTGTGTGAAAGTAAATAGATTAAAGATGGAAATTTGTTCTGTAAACTCGGAAGTCATAAATAAAGGAGAAAATGTGGGTTGAATTCTAAGGGGTCATATTTCTATTTACTTATTATGTTAGAAATTCTTATCTGCTTATAATTTTTGTATGGGCAACTGGCTTTCGAGATTTTATTTTCATACAGACAACTGTATGCTCTGGACAAACTAATAAAATTCTAAATCAAACTGGTGATATTGTACTTCCAGAAAAATACATATGCCTATATGGTGAATATTATTCTTTCATCATATGTAATGTGATGGATGGTTTTCTGAGTGTTTGCATTTGTTCTTGACAATTTATCTGAACTTCTGTCTCAGTGAACATGCCGAAAAATTTGGTTTTGGTGTGGTGGATCGTTTTGTTGGTCATGGCGTGGGGACCATATTTCATTCCGAACCTATTATTTATCATCACCGTAAGTGACTTTTTTTTTTTCATTATTTTGCATAATCTGTTTTGCGCAAGTTATCATGTTTACAGAATTAGGAAGGCTTGAAACTATTCTTTACTTGTTCATAGCTACTAGGCAACCATTTTTTCTTTTTGTGAGCCATGCATTGTCTTCTTTCAAATTCCTATCTGTAATTTTCTTATAATATAATCCACAATGCAACAACTACCATGCATGTCTTGAATCATAAAAAAATCTTTTAAGTTGTTATCAGAGTTTTTCTCTTTCTGTACTATTTATATGATTTACATTATTAAAATGAACGAGCTTTTTACACTTTCTTCATTAATTAAAGAGGTTTTACATGATATGCCTTGAGGCTTATGTATTTTGCCTCAGCTCACAAGGGCAAAACATTTTTCCTCAATTTTTTTGGAAGAGTGTGTGTGTGTATTAAACTGATTGTTGAATTGTTTGATAATACCTCATCTTTAGAAGAAAGATATGCTTTTAAGATTTATATACTGTATAATACAATTGAATTCAGAATATATTACAGCTTCAAATGACAAATAAAGTTGATTTATCCATAGCTTTAGTTTGATTAGCTTAGTTGTGCCAATGCTGGCTATTAGTTGAGAGCATTACTCACAAGGTTATGTGTCGTGCATTTGTACTCAATTAAAGCAATTCGTTTTTAGCTTTGATCATGTAGTTGGATACAAGAATGGGAAGATCTATCTTCCCTCAGGAAATCCTGGAATCTTGATCCACGAAGACATAAAAAATTGTTTAGAATTTTACTAATCAATTAAAATACTAAAATAAAAGTATAAAACCTTGAAATCTAAAGAAACAAAAATAAAAATAAGATGCATCAAATAGTCATTCCAAACAAAGAGAAGCCAAGTGAAATGGGAAAAGAAGGGGGAAACTTTTTGGTTGAGAGAATTTGTTTTTCGGGGTAAGTGAAGAAATATTTTCTTCTTTAAGTGGTTCTGTTCGGATATTACTCTGCAGAGTTTGAAATTCCCTTTTCTTTTGTCTGTTTGTTGTTTTACAAATTAAGCTGATCTGGATTGACATTCATACTGGATTGACTTTTTTGATGACATGGAAACAGCAATTAATTATCAAATGCTTCCAACTTGAAATGCGGTTTGTGCATTATAATTCATAATATAAACTGAAGATATTTTCATATATTTGTTTTTCATAGTTTTTAATATGTTTCGAAATCATTATTTGTATCCTATGCCATCGATTACTATCCTATATACTCTTCTAAATATGATTGTTAATTTGTTGAACAGGCAATGACAAGCCTGGTTTCATGGTTGAAGGTCAAACATTTACTATTGGTGAGTGCGTTTCATTCATCTTACATAATCAAAATGCATATATTTTCCCATCTTTCTTCATCTCTCTGGTGAAATTTTCAAACATTTTATAGGATTTTATATTAGCTGATTCTGCCCTAGAAAAATTATTTACTCATTCTATATTGCCATAGCCTTATCTACACGTTGAGTGGAGCATAAAGATGGATGTTGACAAGGTGACTGTAGCTGGCACATTTTCTAAAATTTATTAACAAATAAAGAAATTTACTAAAAGTTTAAAACCTCTAAGGAGTATTTGCTTACTTTCTTGTTGATTATCCCATGCGTTGTTCTATTTTATTATACCATCCTGAAAGCATACATCTTCACGCAATCATCAAACTTAATATCTATTTTTTATGTGAAAGAAATTAAATTTGACAGACTTCTTACCTTGTATATATTATTTACTACTTTTACTGCAGAACCAATCCTTACCATGGGAAGCATCAAGTGTAAAACATGGGAGGATAACTGGACAACTCTTACGGCCGATGGCAGTCCCGCGGCACAGTTCGAGCATACCATTTTAATCACAAGAACTGGTGCAGAAATCTTGACCAAATATGACAACCAATAGAGATAAGTTTTTGTCATGTATTTGATGTTATACGAAGGGTGGTGAAAGTGTCATATAGAACTAGAAGTGTAATCTTTCATTTGTTTCCAAAACAAAATCATAATTCTCACCTCATGTTTTACAAAACACTATATAGAAGGAACTTGTATTGAACTTTCCTTTGTAAATGCTTGGAAATCTACCGTCTTAAAATGTTCAAATGAGATTTAGCAAGGGGAGAATTTGGATTTGATCATTTGACTTGTACGGAATCTATTTATTTAGGATTGTTTGGAATTGTTTTGTGTAATATGTAACCATTTCATTCTGACTTTTTTGAGATGATAATAGATGTTTGATTGTTTACTTAAAATGACATTGACATTTAGCCACTGCTAATTCCATTCATGCGGTATTTGGTATTATATTGACAGTGAGTTGCTTCTACGAAATCATTGAAAACAAATAGATCACCTCATTCTACATGTGACTGTGTTCTGTTTGGTGGTGGGTTTTGATATGTTTAAGATAGAAATTCACATAAAGACGAACTTAGGTTTGTTGAGACCTGAGAAGCTTCCACCAACTTTCTCAGCTCTACTTTGGTTGACCAATACTTTTCTACGCCCATAATCAACATTCCAGTGCATACATAGTAATATATATATATATATATATATATATCAAATTAACCGCACATTCTATTCATTGCTATTATTATTATGTTATAATCATAGCTAATGTGCCTACCTTTGTTTTTGTTCGGAAGAGTAGGCTTGGTTTGGTTTCCATGTGTTTTTACCCACTCAAGGCGGCTCTCGTCAAGGAAATGACATGCTACTGCTCATCACTACAAAATTTGTTTTGTGTGTGTGTGTGTGTGTGTATAATAAATATGAACAAGGATCGGTATTAATAGTAAGGTAAATTTCAGCTCAAATGAGGTTTGTCAATATTCCACAAAGATTCCCTTTATGTCTCGTAATTTCATAATTCCCTCTATTTTACTCTTTTAATGTAAATAACAGCAAACATTTCATGGACAAAATGATAAAAAAAATCACTGACTGGGGTGGTAAGTGAGATTATAAAATGTAAAGAGAGTCCATGTATCGTATGAATGTGATTTTAGTATCCTAGTGCCATTTTTTTAATGGTAAAAAGCAGAAACCACACTGGGTCACCGTCTGATTCCTCACATACCGACCATCTTTCACCGTCCACTCCCAACTTATGCATTAAAATACGCACGTTTTCATAACCCACGCTTTCCATGAAACACCTATATGTGTACAAACACACACACAGACTCTATTATAAATATTGTGGTACATCTGTAATACAGCTGTGCATATCCCTACCCCAAACATACCTAAGCATAATATATCTTTCCTTCTTCTCCTCTTCTTCTTTTGATCTGTGTGTGTGTGTTGTCCATCAATGGCTTCCATAAGCTCTTTCAAGCCAACCTCTTCACTGAAACTGCCCAACAACCTCAGATCACCATCTTCTTCACAATCCCAGAGACTGTTAGGTTTCGATCTCCCGCACCCACTTTCAACCCAAAACCTCAAGATCTCAACAACCCGTCAAGACTTCTCCGCCAGAAGACCCTCCAAGACCATCACTACCACTGCATTCTTCTTCAACAACTGCAAAACAAAACCAGATTCCTCAAGACCCAGTAAGTATTTTCCCACTCCAATTCATTTTTCTTTCCACTAATTAAGAATCATCACGTCTATGCAGAAAATATTTGAATTTAAATCCTACCCCATGTACTGAAAGGTCTAGTGCACAAGAGGGGAAGATCGAAGACTCATGTCTGTGGAATGATCTTCATACTCCCTGTCTAGTGCATCCGAAAGGATCTGAATTCGAAAACATACTCACTTTTGATATTCTCGCCTACTCTATACTTTTAAATTTAGAAACTGAAATGACTATTTTGCCCATCATCTTTCAAAGAAACTTTACTAGCTTCGTTTAGAAAATGAAGGGTAAACTTGTCATTTTAGTTATCTCACATACATGTATCAACTCAAATGTAATAATTTTGTTTCAGCCAAAGTTCAAGAATTATGCGTGTACGAGTTGAATGAGCGAGATCGAGACAGCCCGGCATATCTACGACTGAGTCAGAAACCGGTCAACTCACTGGGTGACCTCGTTCCGTTAACCAACAAGCTCTATACCGGAGACCTAGAGAAGCGGTTGGGGATCACGGCTGGTCTATGTGTGCTGATCCAGCACGTGCCGGAGAAGAAAGGTGACCGGTACGAGGCCATATACAGTTTCTACTTCGGGGATTACGGCCACATGGCGGTGCAAGGGCCCTACCTGACTTACGAGGACACGTATCTGGCTGTGACTGGCGGGTCGGGAATATTCGAAGGGGTGTACGGTGAGGTCAAGCTACATCAGATTGTGTTCCCAATCAAGCTCTTCTATACGTTTTATTTGAAGGGTATTAAGGACTTGCCGGCTGAGCTGATGGGTAAACCGGTGGCGCCGTCACCGTCCGTTGAGCCGTCCGCAGCTGCCAAGGCGGCTGAGCCTCATGCCACCATTGCCCACTTCACAAACTAATATTGAAGCTATAGAGTGTCTATTGTCATTTTCTTTTTTTTCGGCAAAACTAGGGGACGGGGTACTTGAACACGGAAAGCACCCACTTGAGGAGATGAGCGTTCTACCAACTAGAGCAATTAGACCACTAGGCCGTGTCTTTTTGTCATTTTGATTTGAATGTTTACCGTAAAATTTTAAATTTTCTAAAATGGGTTACAGTTCCCATGATGAACTTGGTTAAAATGTGGCAGTGGTTGATTTTATTTTATGTTTTTTCACAACAGCAACAGATTTTATTGATGATAAAAATGAAAACAAAAAATTAAGATGCCTCATCACAAGCTATGAATTAAGATAAACCATGACTTCTCTTTATCATCTGAATAAGATTAGAAATATTAAGAGGCATTTTGATGGCCAAAAAACTATATAATTTTTATATATCATCCGAATTTGGAAGAAGATGTCGATTGGGTGTTATGTGGGTGAGTATAACTGCCAATATATTATGTAAGCGCTATTATTTTGTGGTAAACCCCACTTACATATTCTCTATTTAGTATTTTTTAAATTCGAAAGGTATATCATTGCTTTTCATTGAAAATGCTTGGAGAAACTCTTATTTTCACTTCCCCGTCCCTCTTGCTCAACGAAGACCACGCAACACCGCCAAATCACAGGAAAAAATTACGAATTCACCTCTCTCTCATGCTCACTCTACCACCATCTCTCATGTAATATGAAAATTTCAAATTGTGTGTATATATATTTATATACAGGATTTGACTTGGTCAGTTTAGATATACACATTTTCTACAAACGGAGAAACAATGAAAATTAGATTGAAAATTTTAATTTCACTCTTCACTTGCCAAAAAACAACAGCCTTTTCCTCATAAGAAATACAAAATGATGGGAACATGTTGAATTCAATCTTTTAAGCCAGGGCCAGCCTGAGAGTCCCAAATTTTTTTGAGGCCACTTTCAAATGTGAGGCCTTTATACAAAAGGTTTCACACTCACAATTTTTTTTCATAAGATTGCAGAATTTTCATTAAAATGAAACAATTGTATTTTGTTTACGAGACTACGTAGAAAATTATAGCAACGTCGGGGGGCCAACAACAAGATAAAAAAAAAAAAATTTAAACCATCATAATGAGCAAAAAAACACTCTAAATTTCATTGTACTTGATAACTTTTTATATCTTAAAAAAGTGCCTTTGTGCAATGTGTATAAGACACCTGATTAATAACTATAAATTATACCAACAAATAATTGCGCTTCTGTGCAATGTGCATAAGACAAATTAACTAATAAATAAAAATCTATGAGTACCAACAAATAATTGTGTCAATAGTATGAGAAAAAAATTAATCAAATAGAGCAAGCTAGAAGAAGAAGAAAAACAAGAATAATTAGATGGAGTTCCTGTACCGTGATTGTGAAGTTCATGAGCTTAGAATTTGATTTCCAAGTTTTGATAACGACAACATTTCCTTATCAAATTCAATCTCTAGATAACTCACGGTTGATAAAGGAGCGAAATTTTATAATCACATAATGTTATAAAATACTAAATAATTAATTTACTTGCACAAGAAAAAAAACTAAAATTATTTCAAAATCAATTAGTCAATGAATTTGAATTTTCATAAAAGGCGAACAGTTTGAAGCATTAATATATCAATTAAATACTAGAGAGGGAACAAAAATTAAGGTCATAAATTAGAATCAAACATTTCAAGCTTCTTTTTATTCCAAATCGTAGTTAATGAAGAAACTTTACATAAAGGCCAGAAAGTTGCAAATTAAGTCAGATTTCAAGGCTAAGGAACTAACTAAATGTAAAATTTTACTAGAGGAGTTTGTTATAAAGGCCAAACAACATGCACCAAATCAGAATGTCACAAAACAAAATCATCATATATACTAAAGAATTATAATCATGATTTTATCAACAAATCAAAATTTACTACAAAATTCTAACAGTTTTTACTCTTTTATACCCTGAACAGAACACATCACAATCAATTAGGAGTGTAGCGGTTGGGCACTCCGACCCAACCCAAGCCTGCCCGATTTTTCATGGGCATAGATAATTATTTTTACAAATAAGGTTGAGTCTGGGTTGAAAAATCTCAACCCTATTTTAATTAGGGTTGGACTTGAGTTGAAGTAGTGGCAACCCGAACAAACCCGAACCCGAATTTAATATTATTTTCATATACATTTTTAATTTCAAATACATTATATATAATATTTAAACTACGATTACCCTTTTCCTTTTCAACTTCATTTGTTAAATCTTAACTTATTGTATGTTAACATTTAAGATAATTAATTTTCTAAGAATTTGTTTGTAATTTATTTAAAATTTACAAAATGTCTTTAAACTTTTTTTTTTTTTTTGTTTAAAAGTCATTTTTAACATGGAATCTAAGCCCGAGTTGCAAGCCTGAATTTAAAAGTAGAATGATGGGTTGGACTCGGGTTGAGTAGTTAGGGTTTAAGATAGGCTTAGGTTTAGTATTTCATATAGTGGGTTGGGTTCAAGTTATACCTCAAACCCGCCTAACCCGCCAGAGTTGCAGCCTTACAATCAATGACAAATAACACTTCAAAAAACAACCAAATTATCATTTTACAATCTAAACAGAAATTTGTTACCAAATTTGAAAAACCAAATCATCATTTCATCAAAATAATATCATGAGCATACCAAAATCAAAGAAAAACCTAAACTTTCCGCAATCATGTATTAGAAATAAATTAAACCAGATATAGGAATAATGTATAAGAATATAACCTCATAAAAACTCATCTTGGATGTTGAAAGAAAATTATATTTTATGTATGCCAAGCGAGATAATAAATTCACTAAACCAAATCAAGTATGTTCCATGAAACCCGAAAGCCTTTTATTTCATTAAGTGTGATGTTTTGCCAAAAAATAATAATAATAATAAAAACAGTAAAAAATGAAAAAACAAATAAATTATATGTGATGCATAAACTAAACAGCAATGCAGGTAAATTTGTTACAATGGTTTATATGTAGACATTATTTTTTATTTTATTTTTTTGTCCATGTTCAAATTTTGAGACCCCCAAAATAAAAGGCAAGTAAGAAGAGTGAGTAGGCCCAAAAAAACGAATTATAAACTTGTTAAAACTGGGCCAATATGTAGGCTTTTTTTTTTTTTGGGGCCATGTTCAATTTTTGAGGCCTTCCAAAATAAAAGGCAAGCAAGAAGAGTACATAGGCCAAAAACCAATTATAAAATTGTTGTACCTAGGCAAATATGTAGTCTTTTATTTCTGGCCCATGTTCAAATTTTGAGTCCCCCCAAATTTAGGGCCCAAGGCAACCGTCTTGGTCACATTGGGCCAGCGCCGGCCCTATTTTCAGCTCTTGAATTGTCGGAGCTTTTCACAGCCTGACAATTCCATGACAATATTCTCATTTGGAGTGCTGGACCAGTTAGGGCTTGTTTCTTCCACCCGGAAGACTGATGTTAATTTCATTCTCCGTTACAAAATCACTTGGCTCTCTTTGTTTGAGCGTAAAATATTTTTTATATTTTCTGGTGTTTAGTTGTCATAAAATTTTTACAAAGAAAATAAATATTAAAACATACAAAAATAACTTATTCATCAATTTTCGACAACCTATTTTACACGCTTCACTCGATGGACTCGACCTAAACTTTTGCCAAACACTTGATATATATATATATATATATATATATATATATATATATTTACCTGAAAAAAGAAAATATTTTCCGAGTAAAATATTTTACATTAAAACAAATGGAGTCAATTTTGCCCAAAAAAAAAAAAAACACAACAACTTGAATTGTAACTGGCCATGTGCATATTTCTGTTGTGTTTGTCTCGCTTTCTCTCTCACTTTGTGTAATCTAAATTTTGTTGTTTTTGTGCTTCTATTCTCACTTTTGCAATGCAACTTAGAATATACTTATGTGATGTATATACAAAGGCGGGGTGGGCGAAACTGGGCTTCAGCCCATTCCAAAAAAAAAAAAAATTTACCATACTACTTAAAGCCCAGGGCCCAAAAATAAATAAATAAATAAATAAATAAATGAAAAAAGATAGCCCACCCCATTCAGAAATGTTAGATCCGGTAACACACACACACACACATAGATATGCATATAAATTCACACATTTTATATGCTTATGTATATAATAAATAAATAAACGATATTAATGTCAATAGTATTTTTATTTATATTTTAGGTAAATAAACTTGTATTAAAAAGAAAGCCAAACTGTTGTAGGCATCTTATCTACTCAATCGCGTAATAAATAAACGATATTAATGCCAATAGTATTTTTATTTATATTTTAGGTAAATAAACTTGTATTAAAAAGAAAGCCAAACTGTTGTATCTACTCAATCTCGTAACCAAGACTTTAGTTGGACGTAGTCAACCCGGCTCAACTTGGTGGTTCTGTGGAAGAGTCAATAAAATTACAAACAACGTGGAATAATTATTAATGGAATAATTACAAACATCGACTCATTCACATTCTAGTCTTGGTTTTGGTTCCCATGAGTTTTACCAAGTAGTAATTCAAACTGCTTTACCACCCAAGGCGGCTCGCTTCAAGAAAATGACATGCTACAGCTTTATCATCACTACAAAATGTATTTGTGTTTATTTATATATATATATATATAATAAGTATCAGCAATGATAGGCATTTTGTGCAACGGGTAGTCAAGTGGCAACGAGTAATCAAGTGCCTTAGCCGGTATTAATTATAAGAATAAAGACTATCTCCTCTTAGAGTATCTGGGACGCTATCCAAAATAAAGAGAGAGGTGTCAGTATAGAGAGAGAATGGAACGGAATGTTGAAAGAATTTGACCAACTTTATTGTGAGATAATTATTAATGATAATCAAGAAAGATTATTAGTCATGTATGAATATCAAATAAGACACAAAATCAACACTCATTTTAGTGAACCCCACTTAGAGAGTGACTAAGAGCAACATCGACTCATTCACATTCTAGTCTTGGTTTTGGTTTCCATGTGTTTTACCAAGTAGTAATTCAAACTGCTTTACCACCCAAGGCCGCTCGCTTCAAGAAAATGACATGCTACAGCTTTATCATCACAACAAAATGTATTTGTGTTTATATATATATATATATATATATATATAATAAGTATCAGCAATGATCGGTATTTTGTGCAACTAGTAGTCAGGTGGCAACGAGTA